GTGAGTTCATGAGAGCGCCACAACGTATACACGAGAACTGAGAAGATGATGTAGGAAGTCTGTTTACAAGCTTCTCTCATCTTCTCAGTTCTTGCGCATGCGTCGTGGTCTGTGAAACCAGGCCTTAAAATACTTCAAATATAATAGCACTGTTAAATGTAATCTTTAGGAGATCTCAAAATGAATATACCATACTTTATCAAGTGATGCCAAAATTCACTTGTAGCATTTAAATCGGTTTTAATTTATTTTTTAATTTATTTCGTTAAAATATTATTGGACATTCTGTTAAATATCGATACGTCCATAGTAATTTCTGACTATTGGACGGATGATGTAGGTGGAGATGGAGAGAAGCTGGTTCAATCTGCATGCTCAGGAGATCCAGCCTCTGTACCTCTCTGAGAACATGGAGAATGGAGGCTGGCTGAGAAGCCGTGGCTGCTCAAAGGACGCTTGGATTGGTGGCAACTCTCTGATGGTGGAGGGCATGATTCCATCAGGACTTCCTGAAGTCTGTGCAAGGTACTGGAGGTTTAGATTTTCAGGGAGTACAAAAAAACTTCAATCAAACACCTTCTTTTTGCCCCTTTGTAGGATATTTTCTCTCCATGTCCCCTTGGTCGCCAGGACATTTGTCTCTTTTGTCTACAAGCCACCTGTGGGAGTGAAGGTGTCCTTGGAGCTTAAAACAATAGATGTTCCCCTGTGCACTTTCAATGGAATGGAGGAAATAGCATGTTAGTGGTCTTTTATGCTGCCGCCTTCAGATCTCTAAGAGTTTCTGTAAGCTGTCATGATAAGAATGTGTAATATTAATCTACTTTATTGGGTGTGTGTTCAGCTAGCAGTGTCTTTCCTGAAGCGTTAGCAGAGGATAATCAGTTGGTGGAGCAGTTTGTTCAGAATTGTGGTCGGTGGACTTCGGATGGCTGGATTACCAAGTGAGAGTCAACCGTTTAAAGCAGGGGTCGGCAACATTTTTATCATGAAATGGCTTTTTCTTATTGTCCCAGTTAATCAGGATATAACCCCCAATTATATATACATATAATTATAGCTGCAGTCCGTAGCTTTTTTTTTTGGTTTAAAAATGATCCAAAATACATATTTGAGAAAATGCATAACCAGCCACTGTTTTTAATTCCAGTGGTACTGGTGGATTTCCGCGGGAGATTCGAGCATATCTTTGCGTCATTACGTCACGAGTTTCCTTAAACATTGTGTTCATCCACGCTGTGTCGTGTCGAAGTACAACTCGCGTAAAGTTGATAATTCTGGGAATGACTGCAATTGCAGATTTCGAACAGAGATGGCGACAAAGAGGAAAAAATGCGGACTGCAGCTTTAAATAAATACATCATACATCTCTCATACAAATAATGCATAATCTTTAATAGTTCTGAAGCAGTTTTTCTTTTCAACTTTTTTAGATTTCTCAAAATCCTAAAACTTTGTTTAAATTAGACTTTGGATAACAGATTTCCAGTGTAACCCTTATAAACCTCACAGTATGTACTGTACATGTGATGTGAATGTTGTACTTGCGCATCACCATCATTGTGATTATCTGGTGATTATTCACTGGCCTGCCAGAGGTTGCCGACCCTTGCTTTAAAATCAAAAAAGTTTTGGTCATAAACATCTGAAACTCTTTTTTTTCTAATAAAACTCAATGTGGTTACATGCGTAGATGTTTCCTGTTGAAAACGAATGGATGCTCATTGCGAGAAGTGTGTATTCGTGTTTCCCGAGATGAAGGAGATGAAGACGTCTCCTTTAACTGCAGGATTGGAGAGATTATGGTGAGATACACATGGACAAACCACACACAGAACATGTTACGCATCATGGGTTGTTATAAAAGCGGTTTTCATGATTTTATGAGTGATAAAAGGTCTGTGGTTCACAATAAATTCAATCATTTTAAAAGTCTATATATCCAATTAGTTTAAAAACAAAATGCTTTGAGCTTAAATCAGTATTAAATGCTGAATTTGAAGTGAATTTCACTACATTTTAGACTTTTTTTTTTTTTTTTTTTTTTTTTTTTTATTTAACAGTCAGACATACATACAAACAAACCAACATAGTGCAGTAGTGAGCAATCTTGTAAATCCATAATTCCAGCAGTGGCAAGAGTGATTTAAGTGTTTGATCTAAGTGTGTAAGTGAGCGTGTATGAGCGTGGGTATGTGTATGCGTGTGTACACAAAGTAACCATTTATTATTTATTACCATTGTCCTTACCATCACTCCCCACTACCACCATACTGCCCATATTGTTTTTGTAGATTTTTATTTCCATCCTTCCTCCTATGTAACAATTGCCATTGTCAATCCTGTACAAAATATGATAATACAATAATATAATAATATAATATAATATAAGACCACCTTCCCCCATATCTCATCAGTCCCTATCTTTTCCTATTTTTCTGTTTTTTTTTTTTTTTTTTTTTGTGTGTGTGTGTGTTATGTGCAATGTCTAAAGTGCATTAAAAGAGGGAGTACAGTGCGAGAATGCCTCAAATTGGGCCAGAGATGCTGTCCCGTTGAAACTACTTCTCGCCTGTCTTGCCTGCCTTGGTGTTTGCGATGTTTTTCCAAATATACTTATTCTTTTTTTTTTTTTTTTTTTTTTTTTTTTTCCCCTTTTCTATGTTGTGGTGCATTAAAAACCCATGAAAAGATAAGGGGGAAGTTATTGCATTAGTGATGACAATGACGCTTAATTCTAGTTCTACATTCTAATTCTACAGCATTGACAATGGCAATATAGATGATAATAATAATAATAATAATAATAGTAGTAATAATAATAATAAATGACAATGATGATGGCAGTGGTGATCACAACGGTGAGAGCAAAAGACAGCAACAACAACAACATTTTAGACTTTTTAACTGTTAATAAATTATTAGTGTTTTTAAGATTGAATAAGTAAATGAGCAAATGTAAATCTAAATGTAAAAATATCGGGATGCGGAGACCCGCGTGCTGTTACAATCATGCCCTTTTTGCTGTGCGCACCTTTGGGCTCATGCAGACACATTGAATTTAAACAAGACTTTACGCTTTAAAGGAGTAGTTCACTATTAAAAAAACTTTTTCTGATAATTTACTCACCCCCATGTCAGTTGAAAAGAAATTAAGGTTTTTGATGAAAACATTGCAGGATTTTCTCCATATAATGGACTTCATTGGGAACCAAACGGTTCAAGGTCCAAATGAGAGTTTCAGTGCAGCTTCAAAGGACTTTAAACGACACCAGACGATGAATAAAGGTCTTATCAAGGACCCTTCGAGTCATGACTCGAAAAAAGATTTGTTCATTGTGATGAACGAGTTTGCACAGGAGAGTCTCGAACGCTCATCACAAAACAGAGCAAGGCAAGCATTTGTGCTTATAAAATTTAAACTTATTTAGTTTTTAAACGACCGATCGTTTCGCTAGATGTGACCCTTATTCATCGTCTGGTGTCGTTTAAAGCCATTTGAAGCTGCACTGAAACTCTCATTTGGACCTTGAACCGTTGAAGTAAAGTGCATAATATGGAGAAAATCCTAGAATGTTTTCATCAAAAACCTTAATTTCTTTTCGACTGAAGAAAGAAAGACATGGACATCTTGGATGACATGGGGGTGAGTAAATTATCAGCAAAAGTTTTTTATTTATTTATTTTTTTTTAACTACTCCTTAGCTCATATTTAAACAGCTAAACTTTTACTACCCTGTTAGAATGATATATTTGTCCCGTAGCTTCTTCGAAAGGGAGGGGTGAGCCCTGAACCCTTAGTGCAACTCACAACCGAACTGCTAGATGTCGCTAAAAATAAACACTGCACCTTTAATAAAAAAGAAAAAAAAAAACAGGAATACATGGTCAAATATCATTACAAATTAAAAAAAACTGGAGAAAACTCCAGTTACATGATCCTTCAGAAATCTTTTGTAACATTATAAAAGTCTTAACTTCTGATTAATGTAGTCTCTCTGAATGGAAGTATTATTTTCTTTCAGTCTTACACATGTCTGAACATAGTGTAAGTGTAGAAATAATGATGACAGTGGCTTAATTGTCTGTTTGCATTTTTGTGCACAGTTTATGGATGCAGAGACTCTTCATGCACCCCTGCAGTCTGTTCAAGGCATCTGCGTGAATGATGTGGTGTGGCGGACGGGTGCTTCGAAGGGACCCGGACACACACCGATGGTACTTTTGAACACCACCTTGCACTGGCAATATCCCACTCAGCAGGTCCGCCATTTCCGGATACACTGGAGACGTCTCCGTGGTCCTGACCCTCGGATTCCCCCTGGACCCCTGACTTTGATTGGCAGGTCTTACTCCACCCTGTACCGTGTGGTGGAGCTGGAGGTTCCTGCTGCTCCGGGTCTCATAGAGCTGGTGGTGGAGCCTGTGAGCAGAGAGGGATTCAGAGTCCCTGAGGACAGGTGGGGCAGACGCACACTCAGCTACAGTTCCTCAGGGAACCCATAAACATGAATGCTATTGCCTAAATACTGTACAGCTGACATGCTGTTTTGATAGTATAAACACATTTTTCTTCCATTCAAAATGCGGAGCAGGAATATGTGTAAAATATGATTTGCACAATTATATCCTTTATTATAGTAAAAGCCGTTTTAAATATTAGTGTACATTTTAAACATTAGTGGATGAGGACCAGAGTTGTCTGTTTTTTTAGCTTTTGCACAGCTCTAGAAGTGCCTATATATACATTTATTCATAAGTGTCACCCAAGCCTCATGAAAATAATCAAGTAGCTTCTGATTATATTAGATATATTTTAACCAGAATCTCTTCATGAAATTTCATTGTTTATGCATTTGTGTGAAATCAAGCATGGAGATGATTCCAGTTTCCTTTTTTCTTGAAAGACTTGGAGATGCATTGTTTGTTTTTCAAATAAATGGGAATGTAAAAACAACTTTAAGGTTCTTCTTAGCACATGTAGATTTCAGAATTCAAACTGTATAAAAAATTATGACTTTATTGTTTGTACGCATTCAAATTTACAAATTTTACAAGACACGCATTGTAAAATGATTACATTAAGATCTCAAACAAAAAGAAAAATAAGTGGGAAAAAAGAAAGTGTCAGATTTTGGTAAAATAACTGTTGATTGTTTAAAAGTGGTTCACAAGCCAGGTTGTATCTGAATGAGATCGATCGATCACTCCTGCCGAGTCACCATCTTCAACATCCGTAGAGCCATTGGTCCCTGGTCAGATGGGATCTGTGATGATGTAATGGATAGAGATGTTCACATACACTTAAAAAGATTAAAAATAAATACATTTTCCTTTCAGTAAAACTAAACCTTCTGCTGTTATAGCCAAGCTAAACTAACTGAATGACATATTGCATGATTTTATAAACATTAAAATGACTTTGGCAAAAAAGTTTACCATATGTCCAGCTCTGAGGATCCAGTAAAAGGCAAAGTTCTTATAAGTCTTATAGAAAGCTCCAGTTTGGCTCTCAGTTTGCGGGTCTTCCAGTGCCGTCCATTTCATCTTGTTGAAGTGTTGGAGTGCATCCCATTTCAGCTGTTTCACCCACAACTCCTGACCTGCTCATAAATAAACTAATTAATTATCACTGCAGTGCAGAAAAGCTCTCCGGATGACAGCCAATCGTAATGGTCTTCCTAAATATCAAACTTATGGGCAAAATGGATTACAAAAATCTTGGCAACACCATGGAACTTTTCCTCTGCGGTCGCTCTACAGGTTGGAAGCGGATTTGTCCATTACCGCTGTCGTAAATAATGTAGCCTGCTTCAGCCTACTTGCACACACTCGCTGTTTATCCAACACCGGCTTTGGAATCAACAATGGCAGACATGCCCAGGTTGGAAGTCATTTCAGGGAGGTATATCTTGTTGACGGAGGGGTTGACTAGCTTTCGTGAGGTCTCTCCCTCTCTGACGTGCGCTCGCTACGTATGTTATGTGCACAGTATATTCCAGAGATTGCGGGAGACTTGGGTTGTCTGCAATGGCCACAGACATTTTGAGGAAGTGGTGGGGGAAAGTGACGTATGGCGTAAAGCAGTCGAATTTTGTAGTTCGTTTTGTGCTCCTGTCCCTACCCGAAATCCGAAGTTACATAGTGCAAGTAAAAGTGATACAGACCACATCAGGCTATGGCAGACGTGACATTCAACCCATTGTATGTTGACCATCACAAGGGTCTTGGAAATATATTATCAAGGTTGAACAGTTACTTAGTATTGCTTTATCATCCCCTTCCTAATAGGGTGATCTGATCACAAGTGGTCAGCTGTGACATGTTACCAATCACTCCTTGTATTAAAAGGCATTGTGTTTGACCACTTCTGTTCAGAAGTCATGGATAGCTACATAAATCAGAGTTTGGTGAGTATGTAATGGTCTTAACATGTTACTTTAAGACCCATGTTTGGGGTGAAATACATGCTATGCCATTCTGTTCTGGTTTGTGCTTTTCTTTAAACAAAATGCAGTCGTTAACCTGTCGTATGGATCATTTTCAACACACTAACGGTTACAAGTAGACAGCCTTTATTTGTCCCAAACGAAAAATAAAGACAGTGACGCACCAAGATGACGAAAGCCGACTGTAGTCGCCTCATGTTGGTTGGTCTGGGCCAGAAAGCTGATCTGCCACTAGCCTGACTTGAGGCGACGTGGAACACGCTACTAAAACTAGCCCGAAAGTTGCTCATCGATCATCGGCTTGGTGTATCATGGCCCTATGAGGATATATGGTGACATGCACAACTACCAGGTGTAAGGCCGTGTGTCCACCAAAGCATTTTTCCAATTGTTTTCAATGGGAGCGCCACGTTTTTAAATGCCATGAGCGTAACGAGGCGCTGAGTAGTTTTTTCACGTTGAAGCACCCAGCGTTTTTTACTGGTCGCCGAGAGTTGAAAAATGTTCAACTTTCGATAAAATGCAGCGCTCATCACTGTCACTTTTTACCCAGCCGTCCAATCACAGTGGAGGAGGGGCGGGACTAAACCACACTGACCAACTGTCACAACATTCTTTCTGTACAACGACATCAACCAGCAGAACTAACTGAACAAAATGGATGAAAAATACATTTTTAGTATGAAACAAATTATCTGCGAAATCAGTTACAAGTAAACTGTGCTGCAGATTTTCTGTATCATAGCAACGGAACGTCTCAACGGAAAAAACACTGCGCTGCCAAAACGCAGAGCGTCTGGCGTTTTCAGCTGGCTAAAAACACTTTGGTGGACACACGGCCTAAATGGTCCAAGCGCTAGTCTAAATTCTGTTGGTCAAGAGTTGCCATTCTGAAATGTTTATTAATGGTTGATGTCCTCACCCATTGTGTCCACGATGAGATCCAGCTGGCCATTGTAGATGGTGACATTGACACCTGCAGCCAGAAGCAGATCCACAATGTCCACCACGGGCTTCATGAAATCTCCTGCCATGCTGACAAACACGGCATCAGCTTGTCCTGAAGAAACAGGTTTCACTTGTGAGAATCATATTGTTTTTTTATTTACACAGACACCTCTGTAAATCATAAAAAGAATTATACCTCCCCATGTGACATTCTTTGGTATGACACCAAGCTTCTGTCTGATTGGCCCGTTCATCAAGTCAGAGAGGGACTGACGGTGCAAAGGGCGAATGTGGCGCCGCTTCAATAACGCTGTAAAAAAAATGATGGCTAAAACATTTATGCAACAAACAGAAATTTTGAATAACAGTGCATGTTGAAGGTCTCACAGAGAAATCCATCCACGGCTTGATTTGAACTGGTCTTCACCATCTCATCAGAGTCTTGAGAGAGGATATTGTAGAAGTTCACACCATTTGTGTTCTGTAACACAATAGGTTGAGGAACTGAATGAATCACATGATGTTTATTAATCCTATGAAACCTCTACCTAAACATATTCCTAAGCTACAGAAAGGTCTGTAGAGCATGTTCAACTCACCTGCTCCACAACGTTCTCGGTGATGGACCACAATTCAGTGGCTTTTTGGTACAGGCCCTGGTTTACTGCGTCCTGCACTGCTTTTGCTGCTTTTGTCACCTCATTCAGCCCATTGTCATCCAATAGAGACTAATAGACCACAGCACAGACACACATCAGAAGCATTAAAAACTTTAATAGCAAGTTATGAACAGTGAATAGCAGCAAGTGAACATTTAATTTGGCCAAATCATCATATTAGAATGATTTCTGAGACTCTGATGATCATGTGATCAATGATCATGTGACACTGAAGACTGGAGTAATGATGCTGAAAATTCATGTTTTTAAATATATTTAAATATAAAACAGTTACTTTAAATTGCAATATTATTTCACAATATTACAAATGCAGCCTTGGTGAACAACATATGAGACCTCTTTATTTTATTTTTTTTAAATTTTACCAACACTGTACTTTTAAACGGTAATGTATGCATATGTCAGATCATTACTATAGTAGTATGTTTTGATCATGCTAATGCAATCATGCTTAATCACTGTGAAGAGGAGGCAGAGGAGTTATGGTGAATTACTCACTGTGCTGTAAAGATAAGGACCCCATGTCATGACTGAATCTGCAGGAAAAACAAGCAATCGGACGTGGTTTTTGGGAGGTGGTTTCATCAGAAGGTTAATGCAGTCATGTGAGTAAGGACTATTAATCATGATGAATGTGCATGCATAATGACTAGTAAACTGAGATGTGATAAATTACATCAATAAAAAGACACAACCAGACTGAAGCTTGACAAGCTTTTTACAAACCTATAGGAGAGATCCAGGAGTCTCCTAAAGCCACCCCAGCAAAGTTGCATTTAATTGAACCAGCTTGAACTGCCTAAAGAGAGAGGAAATTACCATTTGCAGTGCAGATTAAAATAAGTATTCTGAAGAGTTGCCAGATTTACTTTTGAGGAACCAACTCTGACTCAAGCTCTCCCTCTTTCAGACTTAAATAGTTTGATGAACGTCTTGTGCATGTTGTACAAAATTGCATCTCATGAAGCCTAAAGTGAGAACAAACATTTCAGTACCTTTGTGAGCTCGAGGGAAATAGCTGCTGCCATTTTGCCTCCGTAAGACTCCGAAAATATATAGAAGGGAATACTCTGTCGGGGAGAAAAGTAAGATACTATGACTAATGTCAAGAGAATAGCAAATTCAGTCAATTTTATTTTGCTTACTTGAAACTCTGTCTTTAGAGAGAAAAAGCTCTTGAGGAGGGCCATCATGTCTGATGCTACCATCGCAACGTCCTTGGTGAGGAAATCTTCAGTGTCTGTGTAACTGTATCCGGTGCCCACTGGGTTGTCCACAAATAGCACACTGGCAGCTTGCACCTGCATAGAGACATATTTTTGGATGAACAATAAATTATTCACAGATTCCACAATAAGTGTTTTTTTTTTTTTTTTTTACAAAATGCTTATATTAAAGTATTAGTTATATTACTTATATTTATACAGAAACACTGAATCAAAACATGCAATATATATTCCATACTTCCTGATATAAACATCTTAATCAACATTGCAGATATGAGAGTCAAGACAATATATTAGTTTACCAACCCAAGAGGTTTCTCTCGGCTTCAGGTCTCTATCAAGAGGTCCAATTTCCTCAAAATTGCCAAAACCACAGCTAGATCCACCAGGACCTCCCTAAAATAAACAGGAGCATGAACGACGATGTACTTCAGAAAATGAAAATCAGGGTGGATAAACAGGAGAAGGTATAACAGCAATATGAATTCTAATCCAAATAAATAAATAAAGCTTCCACTGAGATATTCTCTAAATGGAGAGGATATATGACAGATCACACTGGTCACTGGAGTGACTAACCTGAAGCCACATAACCAGAGGTAGTTCTTTATAACTGGCACTGGAGCTGTTGGCGTAGTACAACCACCAGAACATATGAGCTCCATCACGGACATCCACATATCCCCATGATTCTTTGGCTTGAACTGGAACACAGCTACCTGTTTTTTGATGATAAGAACAACAGAAGTCACATTATTTATTATTCGAGCTAGGAGTTTCTTCAAAAAGGTCTAGTTGTAAATGAAGCAGAGACTTTCTTAAGAGACTTTTAATGTGCAACAGGAGGGAGGATAAGTAAGTAACTCAACGATTCCGGTTCGATTCTGTTTCCATCCGTTTTAATGTAAATTTGAAATAGTTCAAACAGAAATATTATTTAATTCCAGTTGACTTTATGAATAGTAACTAACAATTATAAACAATTTAATTTTAAAAATGGAACTTGGTTCAAAACCTTGGGTCGATTAACTTAACTTAACTGGCGTTAGTTGAAACAACAGCAACATATTTCGCTTTCACTTTGTGCAAAGTTACAAAACATTTTAGGAACGTTAATAATCTCATCATCTCATGCTGCAATTGCAAGCCCTAAGACCAAAACTGGGTGACTATGCCTAAAAATATACAAGTTATACCTAAAAGTGTATACGTTACAGCACATAAAAATATGTCATCACGTTACCTTTGTGAAAGGTCAGAGAAAACAGCAGCACAACCAGCATGCCAATCCACGACAGTGCCATTGTTAATGATCTCAGGCTCGCTCAAACAGGCCTACACAGTGACCCACCGGCTGCTGTTAATGCTCAAACCCAAACCTGTGAGCAGCAATGTGATGTGCGGAACCGCATCATATGACTTCAGTCAGCTGACGTCAGGGAAATAAATAAACCGCCACTATTCTCTTCCACACCAGTAGAGGACAGCAGAGGGTATGACAGAGTGACTGAATCCCTCGTTTAAAACACTGAGCGCTTCCATCATCCTCATTGATGATTCTCACGATACTGTTCAGGCATGGCCACCTCCTGTCTCAATGCGGTCAGGGTTCGATTGTACTTTGATTATCCTCCTCCTGCGACACCCGAGTGTCGGATGTGTTGGTTGCTGGTGGACTTGAACAAATGCCGAGTTATCGCAGATCTTTCCAGCATTATAAAGGAAAAGTTTGGCTACAGCCGTAAAACTAGTTTAGATTTATTTATTGAGGATTGCTACCTGCCTTCCACAGAAAGTATTTATATAGTACGTGACAATGACAGTATAAGGTAAGAACTGTATTATATAATGATATGGTGGACGTTTTTGCTAGGTTAAATGGCTTTTAAATGTTGATAATTGTTTATTCATCATCTCCATTGACAGGGTAAAGGTATGCAGTCCTGTTTATGGTAATGGTGCCGAGGCTTGCCAGAACTCTGAAGCACACATCTCAAAGACCAAGAAAAGAGTGAGAGAGGATGAGACGCAGATCTCTGAAAGTCTAAGTAAAAAAAAGAAGCCTGAAGATGTTAATAGCAATGCCTCTGCACCAGCAGAGAATGGCAAGAAGAAGAAGAAGAAAAAGAAGAAAAAAGAGGTGAAGGAGTCAGCCACAAAACCTGCCACCCCTCAAAACAACATTGCAAGCCCCTCCTCTTCGAAAAACAACAGAAAAAGCACTTCAGCTGACGCCATCAGTGACAAAACTACTCGTACAAAGAATCATGAACCAACGTCAAGTGCTTCAGATAGCAGTGAGGATGAACCTCACAAAAAGGCCCCTCCACCAAAACCTAAGTCCAAGCAGAATGGTGCAACCAAAAAGCCCCCTGTGGCTGCGCGAAAAGAAAGCACATCATCGGATTCATCATCTTCGGGTGCTGTTAATATATCCAAAAGCGGCATCACGGTGCAGCCACTTCCTGGTACACCTAAACCATCTTGCACAAACTCAAAACTTCTACTACAGACACCTCAGTGTAGAGAGAGCTCCACAGATTCTTCTTCCTCCTCGTCATCATCATCCAGCCAAATCAAACCTGTAGGCAAGAAATCACAAGCAGCAAGTCAACCCTCCTCAACCACTCACAATTCAGTTCAGTCGGTCTCGTCTTCTGTGTCTAAAGAGCCCCAGGATAATGCAGAGAGCTCAGACTCTGATGCCAGTGAAATAGAGCTTGTGATTAAAAAACCAAACCTACAAGGAATGGGATTGAAAATTGCCGGTGTGAGACCTTGCGCTAGTGAGGCAGCAGGCAGAGACCGAGGAAACACAAGAGGTCAGGAGAGAGGCAGAGGTCGAGGTGCAAATCGAGGCAATTGGAGAGGAGATTTTGGTAGGGCCAGGGGAACACCATGGAAACAAGACTCCCCTTTCGAACGGCAGAAACAGAACGATTCTCTGACTAATGAAAGTTTTATTCTGCAGGTGAGATGAATGTGAAGATGATGGGATTTAAATTCTCCACCACACCACACAATCTAGGGTTTTCAAGGAGGGCTCTGTGGAAAAGATATGTAAATGTGTATGTATATGTGTCCGGTTTCACAGACAAGGCTTAACTCCCAGATTAAAAGGCATGTTTGAGCTGTTTAACTGAAAGACATTTGCACTGGCATATCTTGAAATATGGCAGTGCCATTGTTTTGTCTCAAGATGCACATCAGTAATGTTTTTTAGGGACATTTAAAACACATCCTAATTGAACTTAATTTTGGCTTAATCTAAGCCCTGTCTGTGAAACCATGGCACTTAATATAAAGTGTTACTCAGAAAATCTATCTTTTTATGTAGTTGGTCCCTTGGTTGGCTAGGTTAGAATTTCAGAGTGTTTGGATCAAGGGTCCCGGGGTTAGGAAAGGTTGAAAATTAAACACAAAAATATTCACAATTCTAGTCATACATCCAGAACGACCTGACCAACACTTTCAACTATGATAATTTCATAACTTATTATGTAAATAAGTTGTGAATGTATTAATGTAATGTATTATCTATCTATTATCTGTAGAATCCACCTGAACCAGCTCCCAAACGAGACTACACAGCTTTACCCTTGCTGGCAGCTCCTCCTGCAGTGGGTCAAAAAATCGCTTTTAAGGTGCAATGTGATTTGATGAATGATACTTTAGGATTTTTTTATCATTCTGTTAATATTATATATGATTATTTATGTTCAGTTGTTGTTATAATATTTCCTTGTTTCAGTGAGCATATGCCAGTGGTCTGTGATCAGTTTTGACTTTGATTATTCTCTCTGTCTCATAGCTTTTGGAGCTGACTGAGAACTACACACCAGAGGTGTCTAACTATAAAGTAAGCCGTTTTTCACCTCAATAATGTGAATTGTGTTTTGTGCACATTAAAAACAGTCGTTGCTGTTATTTAGGAAGGGAAGATTATTGCATTCAACCCTCAAACAAACGTGATGGAGCTTGAACTGCTCTCTCAACCTCAAGGTAAAACCAACACTTTTTTTTTTTGTCAGTTTAATTTATATAAATATGACACCTGAAGCTTGGCAGCTGCTTTATTACGTGCTGGAATTGCACTCTTCCTTCTACGGAAAAAATTGTTGTTATGTGTCTTTTAGCTCCAGTTGAACCTGGCAAATTTGACCTGGTATATCAGAACCCTGATGGATCAGAGATAGTGGAGTATGCTGTCACACATGGATCACAGGTACTGAATGCTCTCTTAAATGTTACATTAGGTTCACACACCCACAAGTGGATTTCAGTATGGCTGGAACATTGAATTGACCAATCAGAATTCAGGGAAAGATTTGTCTATATTTAAAATATTTTATTATGGATTGTAAATACATATGTACTGATCAGGCGTAACACTAAACACACAGGCAAGTTTACTGAAACCACATCATTATGTGAATGTTTATTAAAAACCAAAATTCCAATGTAATTTGTAATGAACAAATTAACTTTTGGCTCTTACCTTCTTTGTTGGTGGGGAGATGTTTTAGATATCAGCAAGATAGTCGGTAGTAATAATTGGGGAAAAAAGCTTGTAGCATGAAGAGCGATTACGGTACTTAGCGAATCCAGGTTTTGGATCATAGTTCCTACACTTGCTGGGGAAATGCATTTGACACAAAGGAATATAAAAGTGCATACTCCATGTTTAACATATGCAGTGTATGTCCTGACAGTGCTAATGCGAGTGCTGTTTTGCAAAGCTCTAAACCCTCTTTTGTAGTTTGGATTGTAACCCCATCCCCCAATCCCACACAATTGTTGCTTTCTGATTATCCCTTTTAATTGTTGTGTGAATAAGGGCAGTTCTTTGTACAAGTGCGTATGCTGTGGTAGGCTAAACAAGCCTGTCTTTGATGTCTTTACTGCAGCTGACTGAGCGCTGGGATTCTCTTCTGGAGCCCCGGCTCATTGTGGAAAATGTCGGATGATGGTCTGAGACGCACCTGTTCGGAGAACCTTTCTTATTTTAATGCTGTTTTGTGGAAACCGCTCATTCTCTTGAAATTGTATTAACCATTTATTTTTTTAATGTCAGTTAAATAAATCCTTTTTTTGTTTTTAAAGTATTGATAGTTATTGGAGTATTGGTAGTGTCTGTTTATACCGTGAGTACAAATAGCCAATCTCTTGGCAAAGGCTGTTTTTACTAACTACTGCGATGCGCTGCGAATTAATTATTATTATTATTTTTTTTTTACTATTACTTTTATATTATTTATTTTTTTCGTTTACTTATTTGTAAACTTTCTGTGAATAGCATCTTTCCCTATTTTGGAAAATAGGGAAAGATGCTATTCTATTACAAGATGATTGATGGATACAGAAGATAAGTGAAGTCATCACACAAACCAACTAAAAATCACACTTTTTTTTCTTTATCAAAAGAAAAGCATGGAAATAGCTTTTAAGGTTCTGTGTAATTTGATGAATGATAATAGAAATCATTTTTAAATTATCCTAATAATAGTATATATAATTATTTATGCTCAGTTGCTAGTAGAGCTGACTGAGAAGTACACACCAGAGGTGTCTGATTATAAAGTGAGCTATTTTATACTTCTGAAATTTAAATTGTGCTGTGTGCATAAACTGTTTTTGATGCTACTGTTATTTAGGATGCGAAGATTGTTGCATTCAATCCTCAGCATACTGTATATACATACAGTATATAATATACTATACATACAGTATGTGTGTGTATATAAATGTTTTGAGAGCATAGGGAGACCATCTCAGTTACGTCATTTTCAGTGCATCATGGGAGTGGACGTTTCCTGCAAGCTCTTCTGGTGCAATTTGTCGCTGTGACTGGTTATTTATTTATTTATTTTTCTTTTAGGAAAACAGTATACTGCCAATTAACTACATCAAAGATCACAATTGGTCTGACTTTAAAGGTTTATAAACTACTGTTATAAAACAATTTCCCTGAATGGAAAATGCACACTAAATGCTGCATTTGTTTTCTCTCTGGAGGGATCATCCTTGACCGGTAAAAGCAAACGTTTTTAACTACCACAGAGATAGTCATTCAGATTAAAAAGCTTAAATAATATAAATAAAATCATTTCATCTGGGTGTATAAGCATTATAAAATGTTTAGTTGGAATACAACAGTTCGATTCTTTGTCATGCCATTGTTGGCTTGGTCTCAAATTCTCGGTTTGGCCCATGCGAAAGCAGAGTTCTGTTTTGTAATGAATAGCAGAGATAGTAATAACATGTATATATAATAGCCTACATACGAAAATAGTAAGAATATTATTATGAACTGATGTATTCAGCCGTGCTACAAGAGTACAGGGACATATGATCATCTACAACTGTATCTGTTTTGAAACTGCTTTAGATTCGGAACAGTCCAAAATTATAAAAATAAAAAAAATCAATTGATTTAATCCAATCAGAGTTTCGTTGACATTTTTGTCAACAGCGTGAACCAATTAAGGCGAGCTAAATACACCTGCATCACAGGTGACGTCAGTAGGAGCGCGCGACCCCTCTGCACGCGCAGATGATGGTTTCTTCCAGCTGAACTGAAGTGATGCTGATGATGTCAGAGCGCTGAGTGAAGCTGAGCTCCGCGCGAGCTGAGATGATGGCGAGCGCGTTCACAACATCACAATCTCTAATGCAAAGCGTTTAACAGCGCATCATCATAACAATGGACGGTAATGTCTTCCTCGACCAAGAACAGCTGTTGGGATTCCTGACAAAGCTTAAAGAAGTGTTCGACGTGTGCGACGAGGATGCAGACGGATATATTCGGGTTGAGCACTTCGTGGACCTCGGTCTACAGTTCGGCCAAGGAGATGAAGTAAGAACCTATATTTACTTAATCGTTCACTCATTTTCTTGACTCAAAAAATGTTTGTCATGTAATGCTGCAGTGCACTTTTGTACCTTACACCTTGAGTCTCTGGGAATATTTTAGTAAATCACTTTCACCGATCTTGTGCAAACAGGTCGGCTTATTCTGTGATTTGTGCTGGACGTTTACGGTGCTATAGTTTTATTTAGGCTACTGGTATTTTAATAATTGCACTTCCGGCAAGTAACCAAGACAACTGTCTCCTCACTCTCCTTCATCAACTGTGATGTCATCAGCCATCACACAGAGTCAACAGTTATTTATTTATTTATTTTTTGTACAAAATATTCGAGGAACAAGGAATACATCACAATATTAATCCCACAATAGCCCAGTTTAATGACAAAATGAAAATTCGGTCATTATTTAGCTACCCATCTCATGTCATTCTGTACTACACTCGTCTTTGAGACGTACAAGATGATATTAAATAATTTTGGTAATTAAAACATTTCCATTCCCTTTGACTTCCATTGTATGGACCAAAAAAATGAAGGGAATGGAAACCAAAACTGTTTGGTTACCAACAATCATCAAAATATCTTTTGTGCTTCATAGAAGAAATTCATGACATGATGGTTTTCCCTATTTGTTGCACTGAAGACATTGTGAGACTTGACATAAATATAATACAGGAGACATTAAAAACTAGATATTGAAATTCGTATGTATAATAAGCTATACATTTTTAGTTGATGATCAAAATAACCTTTAATTTCATTTTTAATGTTGATCATGATGTTATATATGTTGTTGTGTTTGTAGAATCTCAAGCAATGAGCAGTACTGGCTTTCTTAATTGTAGATCTTGACCTTCAGCTGTGTAGCTCAGTGTGTGCCTCTGGAAGACCTGCCAATAAATACTGTTGTCTAGAAATCTGTCTAATGGACAGCATGTCTCCTCGGAGTGACCAGTCAATATCCACCGGCCTGTGTGAGGATTGCTGCTGCTGCTGAATATCAGTTGAGCTGAGTTTGTGTATTTTGGTTGAAATGACTGTTTACACTCAGACAGCTGTAGCGCTATGTTAACAAAATAGAGCAAGTGAACTTTTTTTTTTTAAATTAAGTAGGCTAGAAGTATAAATTCTGGCAAAATAATGATAACCTGATCGACTTTCAGATTTATTTATTAAAACGTGACACTGCTTTTCGTGGTGATGGTTTAGTTTATCGGTTAGCTGATCTGTCCGTTCATCTTATCTGCCAGAGCATGACCAAAACAAAGACCATAATGGGAATCACAGGTGGTTTGGCTAATCCTCATTATGTTTTCTTATTTACAGAGACGCCTATTATTCTGCCCAGTTGGGCTACATTGTATTTGACAGTTTAGTCACCCATCGTGCTTTGTTTTAAATGAATTAGACCTTACTCTGGAGAATCTGGACCCTGAATGTGCTTTAAGTATGAAAGAATGGACCCTTTTCCTTTACTGTCACCATGGCAATCATGATTAACAGTGTTGATGCTGAAAAGGCCTTTCAGTAAATGCTGGGTGGTGTTTAAGATGAGGACATACAGGTTGCTTTGGAGCTGTAGGTTACACAACTTTACAAAAGATGGATGGATTTATCGGGGACATCTTGAGATTGAGTGTTGGTGCTCTTAGTTGACTGCAGCAGAAGGATTTTCTTTACATGACAAATTATAGTCAGTTTTTTCTGCTCTGTGTGCTGCTCAACCATTCTTGGTTGGCACTTGCTGTTTTATTCAGCAGATTAAGATATTGAATTGCCTTCCTTTACACATTCAACTGAATCCATAATGAATTGTGGTTCCTCAAGGCTCTTTGTCATTTAAAATAAGTCTCTATGGTCTCTAGTGGACAGCAGTAATGAAAACCAAATGAGCAATCTGAGGAAATCTTGATGTTTCATAAGTTGAAAAGGCTTACGTTCAGTATTATCTTAAGGTTTTTTGGCAAAAAGATTCAGATTTATTTGTTTTTGTAACCATTTACGGTATCTTTAGGCTCTCTTATCTCAGTGATTTTAGATTATTAATGTGATCATTAAGCACTCGGATCGTCTCGTTTGATTTCAGAAATTATCCATGCCAGTTCTGACAGTATATTCAGACAACACATTATGTTGTGCGACTGTATTGCTTGCTAAACATAGTGAGCAGTGGTGACAAATGGGTTGATTTTATCTAATTGATAGCGAGCACAAAGGGGAAGGACTCTAAGAATAATCCTTCTTAACCTCCAATGAGCGCCATCTCAAGTATGGGGCAGGGTCACCCCTCGGGTCGATGACATTCTGGGGGTGGTTGGGGTTCCATTCTGGGGGTTGTGGATGATCTCCCCCTCAGTCCGTTTGCCGCGGGTCCCCCTAAAAACAGCCCTGCTGCCCTTACCACAGAATCAGAACTAACCAAAATACAAATCATTACTGCTGCACAGGTCTTGCGGTATGTATTGTAATCTCCTCTGAAGGTGTAAATTATAATGGAACTATATAAATGATAAAATCTCAAATGATAGTTTTACAATTTGCAATTATGTTGTGTTTTCTTTGTAATGTAGAGGATTTTTCTGAAGTGTCTCAGCTGTAAGATATCCATTTTTTATCGGATTTAATATATTGGCCAAATTTAATTTTCTTATCGGACCGATAACATGATATGGTGGCTGACATATCGTGCATCCATTTTTATGGTGTTTTTGTAAGTACACTTTTCACACCAAATCTAGTGTACACCAGAAATGGATTCATAATTTATTTCTGATATGCTGATCTGGTGTTGAATAAATATTTCTTTTTATTATCAATGTTGAAAACAACTACTGCTTAATACTTTTGTGGAAACTGTGATGCATCTTTTTTTCAAGAATATTTGATGAATAGAAAGAGCAAAAGAAAAGCATGTGTTTGAAATATAAATCTTTTGTAACATGAATATCTTTACTGTCATTATAAAAATTAGTATTAGTATTAAAAGTATTAATTTCCTTAAATAAAACTTGTAATGAGCCCACACTTTTGAACGGTATTGTGAAGTAAACTGTTATCACATTTGTACGTTATTTATTTATTTATTTTTGTCACATATAAATCTCTTACTTTTCATTTATTTTCCACTTTCTATATTTAACTAAATACTATTATAGCTGAATAAAATTGAATGATAATAAAAATAAGAATCCTGTAGTAAGTGCAGCAAACAAAATGGCTGTAAAGTAGCACTTGTCATTAATCTGAAGCAAATGTTTTCGTGCCATGTTGTACCATTTGCTGTGATACAGTTCAGTGCTTTGTGCAGAAGGAAGTGATGTAACAGTGTGAGTGTGAGGTACAGTCACAGATGACTGGTCTCTCTACATGGATTCTGAGTCACAGTTGTGAGAAACAGTCATGATAGCAGCTTGAATGTCTGTGATGACCGTCTCGAAGTCCTGGCAGGTCTTCTCACCAATCCACCCTGCTCCATTTCATTTCTTTAATCCATTAGTTGCATTCAGTCTCATTCTCATTTTCCTTTCCTTTTTCTCTGATGCCATTTTCAGGTCAGCTTTTTCTTCATTCTCCATCTAGTCTCCACCTTCATTCCTTATTCCTCCCTGTCATCTGTCCCCTCCCCTTCTCCATCTCCTCCTCCAGTCCGTTTCCTGACGCTGTATCTGTGAGGGTTGCAGTGATTGGTACGCATGAAGAGCATGAGGATGTTTCAGTGCAGAACGTGTGGTGAACGTGTGCCTCCGCTCTTCTTCCCTTCCCACAGGCAGGCTGCTCTGTAGTGGCCTTGAAGAGCGCTTGCTAACACCGAGCCCTTGACACAACGCTCATTAACAACTGCACTACTTCACAGGGACCCTGATGGATCACACAGTGACACGATGTGAGGGTCAACAGCATCTGACTGAGTTTTAATTTAATCGTTCATTGATGCTGTATGACTCCTCATGACTAAAATGTAACAGAGAATGCAGAATTGAAAACAAGAGTGGTGCTTAACTCATCACGACTGTAAGGATTAAGTTTGATGTGCTCAGTGAGTTTAAAGAAACAAATTGTTGGTAATAAATCTGCAGCTAATCTGGACGTTTTTTGCTGATGTGTAGCCAGTTTTAGTGAGGTAAACTGAGAACAACTGCTCCAAAGAACATATTTAAAGGGTTTGTTCACCCAAAAGTCAGATATTTGCCCTCATGAGTATCCTGTCATTCCAAAGTAATAAGACTTCAGTTCATCTTCAAACCACAAATGAAGATCATTTAGATTTTTAATAAAATATGAGATATTTCCCTCTCACTCCCCTTAAACTTTCATTCTTCATAAATCCAAGTCTTTAAATATAAATAAAAGCTTAAATTAAATTTGTTCATAATATTGAATAAAGCGATCATGTTTCTTTAGATGACTTGGATTAAACTGCTCAATTCATATTGATGTCTTTATGATTTTTTTTTTTTTGAAGTGTGAATGTTTTAATGTAATGGACTTTAGATGGAGGGACAGAAAATATAAATATCTCTATTTGTTTTTCGAAGATGAACATAAGTATTTTGGCTTTGCAACAATATGAGGGTGATTGATGACAGTATTTTCATTAGTTAAAGTCCCTCTGTAGTCAATAATTGTATCCCTTAATACTCATCACCAAAATTACATATTTACATATTTTTTCCTTATTTAAATATATTTAAAAAATTCTTCATGCCTTAAAATAGCTTGAATGTAACTTTCTGCATCCTTGCCTCATTTAGTATACGCGGTTCTATGAATATGAGAATTAGTCCCACCTCCCTCTCACCCGCACAAGCTCAGAGATCCACTCGTTGACGTGATTGGTTACAAGGTAGTTTGTGACGTCAGAAAAACCAGCGCTTTCATCTTGCAGTTTTGAGATCACTGCAGTTCTAAAGAGAAAATACTCAGCAATGGTGTTGACTTATTAATGTGTATGGATAACACTCCACTTGACTTGAAAGTGGCGTGTATGTTTACGCAAAATTCATGATGCCATGTTGGAGAGCAACTGCGCGTAACTGCAGAATCTGACATCTGAGTTTTTTGACATACTTCAGCATGACATCAGAGCAAGGCGGACTGCACTCGGACACATTTCTAACCGGCATGCGTTTCGCGCTGATCACCGGTGATCGGTTCTGCGCATATTTTGCTCATCTCAAACAAGTCTGTTATGACTAGAATCTGAGTATGACAACGTCGGGCTAGTTAAAATGGTATTATTGTGAAAATATTATTGCAATTCAAAACAACTGTTTTCTATTTTAATATTTAAAAATGTAATGTATTCCTTGTGATGACAAAGCTGAATTTTCAGCATCATTACTCTAATCTTCAGTGTCAGATGATCTTTCAGAAATCATTCTAATTCTGATTTGATGTTTAAGAAACATTTATTTTTATTGAAGAAAAACAGTTGTGCTGTGTAATATTTTTGTGGAAACCGTGATGCTTTTTTTTGAGGATTCTTAGATTAATATAAGGTTAAAAAGAACAGCATTTATTTCAGAACAGAAATCTTTTGTAACATTATAAATTTCACTTTTTTCAATAGAACGCATCCTTGCTGAATTAATTTATAAAAGTGTACATTTCTTAAAAAAAAATAAAAAACTGACCCAAACTTTAAATTGGTAGTGTGAATGGTATATGAATTGCATTCTTCTGTAGACCTTCTGTAGAATTATTTTCTCTCTCTTTCTGAGCGGAAGTAGAGGAATTTGGGGCAGGTGATTTATTTAGCTCATGTGTGCTCCTCTGTGTGCATGCACCATTACACAGATGCATCATATCACCTGCTTTAATGACCCCTGTGTTTCAGCTCTCTGTTAGAGCTATGCACTAAACACCTCTTTTTCCGTGGCAGCGTGGTGAATCATCCTAGCAGGTTATAAGGCGAGAGATTCAAGACTGAGAGGTTGTTAAGAACGCTTCTCCTCCTCTTGGAGGTGAATATATTTAGAAAGAAGTGACGTTGTCAAGGAGCTGTGTGTGAGGTGTGAAACACAGTTACGATGATTTCTGTTACCATGGAACGTTTTCTCATACACTCGAACAAGTCTGGCAGCCCTTAAGGGCAACTTTCCCATAGGAATGAAAAATGACTAATGAGATCTTCTTAATATCTCCCTCAGCATTCAATCAGGGTAGCTGGCACAAACAAACAAACCAACCTTAATGTCTCAGTTTCCAACGCATTCTCATCCCAAGGCGTCATATACAACACTTTTGCCAAAGCATAGACATCCAACGCACATGGCACCCTTTAGCGTCAATATAACACGCACAGAGAATGGGTAGGTTTATGTCTGTGGTAGGGTTAGGGTTAGACCACTAGGAGGCACCTTCTGCCCCATATATATCTGTGTCTCATTTGACGCTAAAGGGTACCATGTGTGTTGGATGTCTACGCTTTGGCAAAAGTGTCGTATGTGACGCCTTGGGATGAGAACGTGCTCCAGTTTCTTATAGATGTGAGAATGAAGACATTTGCTAGAGAAAAAGGACCTTTCAAAGGGATCTCATCCATAGCGGCTTTCGCACCGGAGGAACCTTTTCATAGTTCGAACTATTGACGGATACCTGGATTTTGGTGCGTGGAACTAGGAACGATTTTAGTTATAGGAACTCCTTTTGGAGGAACTAATTGAGCTTCAGAGTAGGGTCTAAACCAGCACTTTAGGAACTATCCGTGACGTTAGTGTTCGCTGATTGGCCGAACGCAGGCAAAACACTAGCACCAACCATTTTAAAAAGGTTGTGTAAACACAGATTATAGCCTGTATATTTACTTGAGAAACTTGAAACCACATGGTATGTGCTACTAACTTTTCATTACTGTCTACTTTCTATGTATAATAGTTTTATCTAATAACATATTAGACAGGACAGATTGTAAACTAATGAACACTAATTAGTTTACAATCAGTGCCGTCAAAATAAATCGTAGCAACCGCGGCTTAAGTCATTTCAGAGTTCCTACTGGTGGTGCGAAAGCAACCAGTTCCCAGAACTATCCGTTGCCAAAGCCCGAACTTGCTATGAACATTTCTCATCAATTTTTTACAGGACCAAATTATCTGACCTATGCTTTTCACATTTCACATTTGATAGCTTTAAACAGACTGTATGACAACAATGGTCTGTGTGTCATCTTTAGGGAATGTTGGACAAGAACATTTGAGATTTAAAGGAGTTCACTTTTCAAAAAACTTTTGCTGATAATTTACTCACCCCCATGTCATCCAAGATATCCATGTCTTTCTTTCTTCAGTCAAAAAAAAATGTAAGTTTTTGATGAAAACATTCCAGGATTTTCTCCATATAATGGACTTCAATGGTAACTAAACGATTCAAGGTCCAAAAGACAGTTTCAGTGCAAACTGTTCAAAGGGCTTTAAACGATTCCAGACGATGAATAAGGGTCTTATCAAGCGAAACGATCGCTCATTTAAAAAACAAAAACAAAACAAAGTTTAAGATTTATAAGCTCAAACGCTCGCCTTGCTCTGTTCTGTGACGCACGTTCGTGACTCTCCTGTTCGAACTCGTTCATCACAATAAACAAATCTTTTTTCCGAGTCATTTCGTTGAATGAACCAAATGATTTTGATGAAGGAGTCAAACAGGAGAGTCACAAACGTGCGTCACAGAACAGAGCAAGGCGAGCGTTTAAGCTTATAAAACTTAAACTTTGTTTGTTTTTTTAAATTAGCGATCATTTTGCTTGATAAAACCCTTATTCATCGTCTGGAGTCGTTTAAAGCCATTTGAACAGTTTGCAGTTTGCACTGAAACTGTCTTTTGGACCTTGAACCTTGAACCGTTTGGTTCCCATTAAAGTGTATTATATGGAGAAAAATACTAGAATTTTTTTCATCGAAAACCTTAATTTCTTTTCGACTGAAGAAAGAAAGGCATGTACATCTTGGATGACATGGGGGTGAGTAAATTATCAGTAAAAGTTTTTTTTCTCCTTTAAACATAACTGAGAACTCTTAAGTCTTCTAAGCCACAAAAAAGCAACCGCTGAGCAATACAGTATTCACTGTTATCAGAAAAACATGGTTTATAAGTTACAGCTACGGTTGACCAAGGTGTTTGAAGGCAAATCGTCTATGAGTTGAGTAAGCGAGTCGTGTCACATGTCAGCAGAATGTCAGGATCAGTCTATTTCTCCTGGACAGCATGTCCAACACAAAGACTTGCTGACAGTGGGAGACGACACATCCTGACAGCAGCTGCTCTACTGCATCATCTGTGGGAGGTGAAGCTGACCACTGATAATACACACGTCTTCCCATTTATATATATAGGAAGGTACCATCCTGAACATGTGATCGCAATCCTCATTAAGGGGACTTTGTGCTTAACATTCTCACGATTGTCCTTTTTTTTTCAGGTTAAGAAGTTTGCCAAGTACCTGGATCCCAATGCTCATGGCAGAATTAACTTCAAAGATTTCTGTCATGGAGTGTTTGCAATCAAAGGTAAGACGACGGTTCCCCTCAAGCGGTATTTCATGCCCATATACCGTTGATGAATCTGTTCTCGTTAGATTAAAGGGATTATAAAAACATCAAACCATGAAATCATGAGCTACACTGCAAAAAAATAATCTTCTTATTTGGTCTCGTTTTCCAATAAAAATATAAAAACATCCTCAAAACTAGATAGATTTACTTGAGAAGAAAAACGGTGTAAAATAAGAATACTCCTTTTCTTTTTCTTTTTTTTTTAAGATTCGAGAATTCATTATTGTTTTTACCTTACTGCAGGGTTCATGAGGAAATTTTTGGGGGTTCATTTGATGATTAAATGTTAGTAAGGAATTAAATGATAAAATTTTAATATTAAAACAAATAAATTAAATATAACATTTTAAAATACAAAACAATCAAAATACTACAAATAACACACAATCAAAATATCACACTATAAATAAATAAATTAATAACAATAAAATTAACTAAATCATATATTTGTTTACCTGCATGTTATGGGACCATTAACCAACATCACAGAAATGTGAACATGCAAATGTGTTGCATGTTTAATATTTAAGTATTTAATATTTTATAACAATTAATATTTAAGGGGATCAGCAATCAAAAACCTTTTGGAATCCCTGCTTCACCCCAATGAAAAAGGTTTAATGATTAAATAATGCAATAGAAATTAAAGTATGTGCATTTATTTTTATTGGAAACAATATTAAAATTCTGATTATGTTTTTTTTATACATACTATAGCTTCCTTTCAGCTCTAAATGTTCTGTGGCATCAAATAAAGAGCACATCTCTTATGTTCTGTCACACACAGTTTTAATATCAGCACAATTGTGCCAAACAGAAGCATGTCTCCAGATAAGAAGACTGAGATGTGTTACCTATGAATTAAAAAGACAAAGTTGTCCATTGTTCAATAATTAAATGCAATTTTATCTCCAGACTAGCATTATCACTTCATATTATTGTAACAATTCATCTGAAGAATCCAAAGATCGATAAAGGTGCACATCAGCTCTGTCTTTGTAGCATTTCCTTGTGTAGAATTGCAAGGAATAATGAATAGCTTGAGTGAGCACAATCTGATTAGAGATCTCTGCTTCAACGCTGAACACTCTTGATCTGCCTAATTGAAAATAACCACATTTGAACAGCAAATTTACGAGCAGCTTTGGGTGTGTCTTTAATTAAGGTTTATCAGATTGAAATATTTCCCCATATAATGACAGCATAGTAATTCACTTGTTAGCGTGGGTTGTTATTCCCAGTTAAAGAAGGGGGGACTTTATTCCTGATTATAGTGTCAAGCATCGCTATGGGATATTTTTTTAGGGTTTCACAGACACAGTCTGTTACTGTGTAATCATGGTTCAGCAGTCTAATTTCACATTATTTATAGCTGTTTCAGGACACTTATTGTCTTGTCTAGATGGGCGCACTCGCTTTTCCCTATTTCACTGTCATTAAGAGCTCAGTAAACAGGGTTACATTTGTCAGGCATGGACACACGCGCTGCTTGGCAGACTTAGGAAGCCCAGATCTGCCAGCTGAATAGGCAGGCCACAGGCAGGCACGGGAACCCGGGTACAACGTCTCTCTGTCAGCGCTCTGTGGAAGTGACTGCAGGCCAAATGGGCATCAGGCCGAAAGACTTTGTCCCAGAGTGTTTAATGAGCCCCAGTGGTCTTCCCACTCACTGAATCCCCCAATCCCTGATCCCCAGCACGCACACCAAGTCTACAAAGCCAAAGCCTATGTTGGTCGTTTTGAGGTCCCATTGGATACTCTAGTGTTGTACTTAAAAGATGCAAGATTGTACCACTGCTTTACCATTAGTCTGTCTTTGGCATTTGCTAAAACTGACCTATTGTCTACAGCTTTATATATTTATGTATTTATGTATTGCCCACAACATGTTCCCATTTGGGTCATTCCCGGAGCCAAGTCAAGCTGTTACACAGAGCTCCAAACCTTCACTGCACTTCATGTTATGTGCCTATTTATGGAGTCAAGGCCTTGGTTGCCCTACGCTGTGGCTCTCAGTATGTTATTTATTCATGGCATTTTACTTAGCCTGTTGTATTTCTGCAGATGGGATTGTCTGAATGTGTGTGTGAGCAACAATATAGCCTTGTATTTAAGAGAACAATTTCCCTTTCCAGCATAATATCTAATGTTGATCTTTCAGTTTTTATCAAAATGAGGCTTTTGTCATTTGTCTTGTAAGTGGAGCGAAGGAGGCCTAAATGTTTTAGTGTGTATAGATCAATAATTCAGGCATGAGAGATGCCATCAAATAGGGATCTGAAATTTAAAGTAGCAGAAGCTGATTTATATGTACGTACTGTACAATGGCTGCAGTGTCTAGTAAATCAGAAAGCCACATAACTTGAATTAGTCAATGTACATCTGAGATTCTTTAATGAAAAATATAATGGATATAAGGAAATCCTTCTAAACTAATGATGCAAACTTAAAGAGTAGTTCACTTTTAAAAAAACTTTTGCTGATAATTTACTCACCCCCATGTCATCCAAGATGTCCATGACTTTCTTTCTTTAGTCGAAAAGAAATTAAGGTTATTGATGAAAAGATTCCAGGATTTTTCTCCATATAATGGACTTTAATGGGAACCAAACGATTCAAGGTCCAAAAGACACTTTCAGTGCAAACTGTTCAAAGGGCTTTAAACGATTCCAGATGATATATAAGGGTCTTTTCAAATGAAACCATCGCTCATTTAAAAAAAAAAAGAAAGTTTAAGTTTTATAAGCTCAAATGGTCGCCTTGCTCTGTTCTGTGATGCACATTCGTGACTCTCCTGTTCGAACTCGTTCATCAAAATGAACAAATATTTTTCTGAGTCAATTCTTTCATTTTGTTTGTTGAATGAACCAAATGACTCAAAAAAAGATTCGTTCATTTTGAAATTCTGAAACTGTCTTTTGGACCTTGAACTGTTTGGTTCCCATTACAGTGCATTATATGGAGAAAAATCCTGGAATGTTTTCATCAAAAACCTTAATTTCTTTTCGACTGAAGAAAGAAAGACATGGACATCTTGGATGACTTGGGGGTGAGTAAATTAACAGCAAAAGTTTATTTAAAAGTGAACTACTCCTTTAATCAATAGCTTCATTTTGTACTTTCGTAAAGCACATTCGGAATTATAATTAAAGTGGTAGTCCAATCAAAAATGATTTACTCACCCTCATGTCATTCCAAACTTTTATGACTTTCTTTCTTTTATGGAACATAACTAAACAGTTTTAAATCCTATTCACTCCCATTGTATGGACAAAAATCACAATGTAAGTGAATGGAAAGTTGTGAACCAAAACTGTTTTGTCACCAACATTCTTCAAGTAAGCAATAAGGTACGAGAGGACTACACAGGACAGGTTTTCACAGGACTAATGTTTCTTTCTATGTGGTTCAGGCTGTGAAGAGATTCTGAAAACTGCACTTGGGACCCCCAACATCGGAGCACAGCCGTACCAGACGGACAATGGCTACTACTATCAGGTGGGCAGATTTCCGTTTGACTACTTGATGTTTTTTTGCCCTTTCCCACATGACATGCCCAATTAGACTGTTGACCCCCTCCCCCCCAAAAAAAAACAACAACAAACAAAAAAACAAGACACTGGGTCTGATCAACTGAAAACACTGCAGTTTTGTCATTGTGCACATGCACCAAATAGCACCGCATTGGATTAGTGGCTACTGACAGAATCAATAGGGACACCTAACTACTGAAAGTCTAAAAGTTGTGTATAGAGATTATTTTATTGGGATTTTGTCTCTGACTGACTGGTATTTTGAGTTTTTCCTTATTTGTGAAACAGGCTAATTTTTGTTGTTGCACAGGTTGGTTGGTTGGTTCACTTTACTGGGAGGCAGGCACTCCTGCTTGTTCTAATTGTGTTCATTTGCACCACATTGAGGCAGTCAACCCAAAAGCAAGCCAGAAACTGTAAGCACTTCTGTTGGCAATGTGTCTAGACGCATTAGGACACTTTATGGGGAGATGCATTGTTCTCTGCAATGACCTTGACTTGTATGAACTTGATGGATGAGAGTAAGTAGAGCCAAAACACCCCACAGCATGTCAGTTCTCAGTCACACACACAGCAATCCATACTGCCACTGTTTCACAGGCTTCTGCTTGAGTTACCGTTTAAGCCTTGTAAAACATAACCTGACACAGGACGTTGTAATGACTCCTGTCAGCATGCTGTATATGACTCAATGGAGCTGTCAGTCAAACAGCTAGAGTGGAGGGGATTCCTGACATCCATCGACACATACTGTGTACATTTATATGTATTTTTATGCAAATAATTACACTTTGTTTTTGTTAAAGGTCTTCAAAATTCACTTTTAGCACAGGGTAAAAAAATATTTTCAAGATTTGTTATCACAACATTTTTTCTTTTGTAATATCAACTTAAATAATTTATTTAGTTGAGAACTTATTATTTTAAGTTTCTGATGATTAAATCAATCTCCTTCATTGTATTAACTCACTTTTTCCAGTTCAATCAGTTTAACATTTTAAGGCAACCAGGTTACTTAATTTTTTAAGTTAAACCAACAATATTTTTTTACAGTGCAGATATTTGCAGTAGCACCACATTGCAGTACACAAGATTCAGGGGGCGAAGTCGGATCCAGATCTGTTGGGGTGGAGCTGGGTAGGTTTAGGGTTATGTAAGGTGGGAGGAGTTGGATCTGGATCCGACTCCTCCACGTGGATTTTATGTTCTGCAGTGAGGACCATCTCGATATTTGTATGCAAGATGTCTTACTCTTTTATGCAAAAAATGGAGCATACGTATTAATTAAACACCTCCATAGGGCATATACAGAATTTATCCCCGTCATCCCTGAATTATGAATATCAAATATCAATAATTTACTTCTGTATGCAGAGAGAAATGCAAATCTGTTTCTTTACCAATTGGACACATCAAAGTCCTACCATTGTTGACCACAGTTATCTGTATAAGTGAAGGTGGTGATAGTATAAAGTCCTTCACAATCCAAGTATCAATATTGTTTTTATTCATTGTAAAAGCTGTTAGGTGTATATTCTCTGACTTTGATTTAAAAGCTTAATGAACAAGCCCGTTCATGCATCCAGTGTCTGTTTTTAGTTATATAGCTGTTTGATATTTAGCAGAATTGAGGGTTATTTGCAATTTGCACTTTTTTTTTGTAATTATACATTTGTTCAGAGTAAATGTTTTCTATATGTACAAATTTGGCAAATCCTATTGTTGAAAGCTTAAGTTTTCACTGTTATTACTCAATTTATAGATTTTAACGATCGTATAAAATAAATGCACATATAAGCTTAAGAGCTGTTTCTTATATTTGAATGGATCAGGGTACTGCAATAGTGTTGGCATCATCACTAGGTGGCAGTGTTTGGAAAGATATGAGATGCATTTAGCTCAAAACAAATGATTCATAACAACAGCAACACCTTGGGGATAATATTATACATGTATGGAAAGTGCAAGGATTAGTGTTTTTCATTTTGGAAAAAATGCCATTATGCAGATTTTACACATGCGCCATACTGGTTTAATTATTTGTATTGCCCATTACCAGTTGTAATCTAAAATAGCTTATTAATTTTACAGTAATGCATGGATCATTTTGAGCGTTTTCAGTCAGACAATGCACTTAAGAGTGAAGCTGGATCATAGTGTCCCTGTGGATATTAAACACTGCAGCAGCAGCAGTGAACAGACCTCCTCCACAGTCTGACAAAGACACATTCAGTCACACTAGGAATGTAATGATGAGCTTCATAACCATGTTGTCATTCATTTTAAGACACTAATAATTACAGAGTAATTACGTAGTAATACCCGAATGAAAATGTTGAGAAATAGGAAGAGAAAAGGAGAGAAATATGAATCATTCTAGAAGACTGGCTAATTATGTAGCTAAAACGTTGAGACGTTCACAGTCTGAGCAGCATGTTTTAGTACATTTGTAATTGTAGTATCAATCATTCCTGCTCATTTGCTGTCTAAATCCATTCAAAAACTATCATTTTTCCAACAGTTACAGAAAATGTTTTTTCTATATTGTTGATATACTGTAGAGGGTGGTGCAGGTTTTAGGAATATTTCCATGATAGCTCCTGCACTACAGCTTTTTTTTTTTTTAATGTGAGATGGCTGTCGTGTGAGGATGTGCAAATGAAGTCTGTCTCATCTACTGCATTGCTCTTTGCTTTTTCTGTGCTCTACTGCAAACGGTTCTATTAGCACTTCAAATGAACACTGGACTGAAGCTTTGCATTGATCTTCTGCAGAGCACCTTTATCTCTCTCTCTCTCTCTCTCTCTCTCTCTCTCTCTCTCTCTCTCTCTCAAAGCAAAAAACATTGAAATGTTAATTTTTTTGATGATTAAACTGACACCACATGATAGAATGTCAGGGAATGGCATGATTACTTCCATTTCATGAACATGTTTTCTAATTGGACCAGGATGCACCTCTAACTAATATTGTGCCGTTTCTGTGACAAAGTTGTCCGATTATAGTAGTGTAGTAGTGTTGTGGTGGCTGTCACAAAGCAACGCTGCCATTTTAACACAATGTTTTTTAACATACTATATTAACATATACTATATTGGTGAAGTCTTCACAGTGTCTTTGGATAATTAAATGTGTTCCCAGGACACACACACAGCATGATTAGAGATTAAGGTTACAGACAGCTGATCAGATTGACCAAGCATATTATGTCTCCTGTACAGGACCTGCTTGAGGACAGTTAATGGCTTACTTGGTCTGTTAATGCTGCTTATGTGAATACTATCCTTCACTGTCACACAAACATTCTCCATTGACCTCCATTTTCTTTTCTCTTTGGTAACTAAGTATACTAAAGTTTTTGATATCAAAAAATAAGCCACAGTTGTAATTTGTGTATAAAATTAGGAGTTAATGTGCACACGGTAAATATTATAGTGATGTGTGTTGACTTAACACTTTGTGCAGATGATCTTAGTTTAAAAAATATAATTTTCTTATTTGAACATTGAAAATCTTGCTCTGGGCATTTAAATAAAAATTTAAATAAAGCAAAATGACAAAAAGTGGTATGTAGGAGTTTTAATAAAATCACACTCGGAGACAAAACAATTTCTGCTGACAACATTCAAACTCGAAGCTCATATTTTAGTTATGAGATGTGGAGCTGTGTTTTTCTGGGTTCATTGGTGTATGTGCGTGTATGTGTATGTATTGTGCTCGGTATAGATCAATCGTGATTGGAGTTTGAACTCAGAGATGTTTCTTCTGAGTGACTGCTGCTGAATGATAGTTGAGTCAGAGCACTAATGAGCCTGTCACATTGATTACACTGATGGATAACCACAGAGAGAGAGAGAGAGAGAGAGAGAGAGAGAGAGAGAGAGGGAGGCTAAGAGCATGTGTTGAGGTGCTTGTCCCTTTTATGCTCCTTTTTCTAGTCATATTTCTATAATCACGGCCTTGTAGTCTCAGATTTCTGTAATATCTGTGTCTAGTCATATTTTATGTTACTATTGGTACTAGAATATTACTGTATATTACTAAGGAATGGCAAATAGACACATTACGAACGCTATCTCTTTTGACTAAGCTGAAGAGATAGAGAAGAGACTTTACTGCTGGTAATTCAGAAAGTTTAGACTGAATATCATTTGTTGTCATTGAGAAAGAGATAGATTGTAGGGTTCAGTGGTGGACTGAGCAGTATTCATATCTGCAGTATTCATCAGTTCTACTCTATATCCATGTCTATATCTCATGTCCACTCCACACCAAACCTAGTGACACCAGATATGGTAAACAATGGATAATATACAGTAGGTACTGAAGATTTCTTGATGGGCTTTCAATTTGGACTATATTGTGCTAAAACATGTTAGCAACATGTTAAAACATGTAAGCAACATGTTAACTTTACAATAATAGATGCTAGCAACATGATAAACATGCTAGGATCATTACTTTGCAATAATACATGCTAGCAACATGATAAAACATAATAGGATCATGTTAGCTATGTTTTAAAGCATGCTAGCAGCATTGCTAGCATGCTTTAAAACATAGCTAACATGATAAAACATGCTAGGATCATGTTGACTTTGCAATAATATATGCTTTCAACATGCTAAAACATGTAGCATCATGTTAGAAAATGTTAAATAATGTTAAAACATATTAAATCATGCATGCGACTAAAAAATAATATATGATAATAATGAGCTAAAACATGCTAGTAGAACAACCACTACACTAGCAACATGATAATAAAACTTACTAGTAGCAACATTATAAAACATGTTAAAAACCTTCTAAAACTTTCAGAAAAGGCTTGCCAAGCCAACATAAAAGTTTGTACCGATGAACTTTACTTTCTAGTTTAAAATGTAATTTATTCCTGTAATGCAAAGCTGAATTTTCAGCATCATTACTCCAGTCTTCAATGTCACTTGATCTTTCAGGAATCAT